TCGCGGAATGAATGAATGAATGAGGAATTCGGCCCCACTAGCTCAGTCATGCAGAAAGGGGTGCAGCTGCCAGGGCCCCCGGAGGGCTGATGGAGGATTGCTCAAATTTAGGAGGAGGCCAGTCAGTGGGGAAGGCATAGCTAGGAAAATTAATCCGGATTGTGCCAGGGCCAGTGTCCATGGGGAAAGTGGCCTCTGGGGTTGGGATTAGGTTGGTACCTGAGTCACTGAGAGGGCTCCCAGGACCCCGGGGCTGGGGTGGGCCTTGGAATAAACAGAGCCTTCAGATGAGGGGAGCCCATCTCCTTTTCAGCTGGCTCCCTCCTCAGGAGCTGCAGGGCTGAGGAAGCGGCTGCCTGTCCTCCACCATCTGGCCCAAGCCAAGAGAGGGAAGGGGGTTCTCCTGCCCCGCTCTCTCCGGCACCACACGCACCCCTCCTCCGACTAACCAGAGCCCTTCGTTCACACACTGCCTAACCAGGACTGGGGAAACAGAGCTTGCAAAGGGATTTTCCAGAAGTTACATAGAGCTACGATTGGCTCCAAGAGCCCGGGGGCTGGCTGATTCCCTGTACCTGGGTCCCGGCCAGGTGCACCTCACAGGGTCCTCGCTCTGCCCTGTTCTGCCTCATGGGGTCTCGATGCCTTCCTGCTGGGCCCTGGGCTGGTGGTCTCTCCAAGCACTGCCCTCATCCTGCAGGGTCCCTGCCACAGCGCTGAGTTCCTTGTAGAGGCTGCACACTGCGTGCCCACCCCTGGGACATCCTTTTGGATGCATGCCTGGGAAACCTCCTCACCCCTCAGCGCCCCCAGTTTGAAGGTCTCTTCCCCCACCTCTGGTGTCCCCATCTCTGTGAGCATCAGACCAGGGCACAGCCTAACCAAATACTCGGCCCTCACAGAACCTCAGGGACCATCGAGGCCTGCCCACGGAGGGCCTTGGAGTTGCGCAGGGCCCTGGTGGCCAGAAAAACGCACATCGGGCTCCATCTGCAGCGGCAGCCCCAGAGACTGGGGTGACAGCTGGGGTGGCTGGGGATTGGGGACAGGGTGCGGGCTGACACATTCCGTGGCAGCCCCGTGACGCAGGCACACCCGTGTCCCTGCCACTTGGCACGTGGCACAGCGGCAGAGCTCCTCTCCCGCCCCCAGCTTGAGATGCTTCTGGGGGTGCACCAGGGGCTCTGGGGAGGGGCACCATGGCCCAGCAGGCACGTGGCCTCGAGAGAGACCCGTGTTGCTGCCCCAGCAGACTAAGGACCCATGGTCAAGCCCAGGGCAGCTCAGCCTTGCAGGCTGGACACCCTGGGGAATGGGTGCTGGGATCCAGGCCTCATCTCAGCCCCTGCTCGGGAGAGCGTGAGCACCCCCAGAGGTGAGGCCTGGGCCCCTAGTGCCTGAGGCCCGAACCCACACACTGCAGCTGGTTTGGCCGTTGGCTCCTCCTGCACCACTGGTGGGGAAGGCTCGGGTCACCTGCTCACCCACCGAGCTCCCTTCACTGCCACCCAGTCATGGGAGGCACAGCAGTGGGTGCCCACATGCAAGGAGATGGGGTCTTTGGGTGGCTGAGCAGTGCCACCGGGGTGGGACATCCCTAACCCCCCGGCAACACAGGGCTTCCTGGGTCCACGTCTGGCTGGTTCAAGGGCCCCGTTCCTCCCACCCACAAAGCCATCTCTGTCCTTCTCATTGGTGGGAGTCGGACTGGTTCAGCTGCCCTGGAAGTGGGTGTGAGCTGGAGGCGGTGAGTCCATCGATGAAGGGGCTGAACTCATGGGTCTGGCCCCAGGTGAGGGGCGGTTGGGGGGGCAGGGGGCAGGGAGTGGGACAAGTGAGTCCTAGGGTCGCCCCACACAGCCGTGTTTGCAGCTGGGCCTTGAATGTCCCTCCCCTCCAGGCGGCTCCAGGTCCAGCCCTGTGTCCATCTCTGGCCAGGCCAGCCAGGTTCCTCCAGGCCTCTGCCCTGGCCTGGGAGATGGAAAATCCCTCAGTCTCCTGGCCTCACCCAAACCTTCTGCTCCAAGGCTGCTGTCCAGCACCACGCCGGAGGGGGTGGGCTGGGAGAGGGCCCTGTGTCCAGCTGCACACCAGGGAGGCCTGAGCTGCCCCTGGCCATTGGGCCCTCGGATGCATGGGTGTGGGGGAAGGGCCTGAAGGAAGAGGCAGGTGAGGTGGCCTCCGCCATCTGCTCCTCCTGCGGAGGGCAGGCTGCCCGAGCAGAGCCTGGAGCCTGGGAAGGGCCTGGAGTGGCCGCTGGGCCGTGGGTTCCTGAGGCGGCCACCGCAGCCCTCTCTCCTTCTGGGGTGATGGGTGGGGAAACCTCTCCACCCACCTAATCCCCAGGAGGACACGGGACCCCTCCCCAGCAGGTTTCCCTTCTGAGGCCCTCCAACCTTGGCCAAGGCCCGGTCCCGCCTCCAGAACCAGGAAAGTGCCAGCCTCCCCCCACCCGCCTCCTCCCGCGGGCGGCAGCTCAGTGCAGGCCTCGGGTCCAGAAGCAGCCCGGGGAGGGCCGGCCCGCAGGCGGCACAGCCACGCGCCCCCCCTGCAGTTTAACGGCCCCTGGCCTGTCACTTAGGTCCGAGGGCGCCCTCTGAGCCCACCAGGCGGGGTGGGGGCCGGGGGCCTACAATTCCTCCTTTCGGTGGCCCAGGCGGCACCGATCCTCAGCCCCGGCCGAGTGGCCGGTGGGGAGCGGGCCTCTTCCAGGCCAGGGGCCGGGTCGCGGGGCTGCAGGAAGGCCAGGCGGGGACGGAGGCCCAGCGGCCGCGGGGGAGGTGGGGAAGGGGCTGCCGTTACGTAAGCCCTTACCCGGAGGCGGCGGCGCGGCCCCCACCCCCACCCCGCCCCCTCCTCATTGTGGCCGCCGCGGAGGTGCGGCCTGGCCCCCTCCCCGCCCCGCAGCCCGGCCGCACGCGCACCTTACCTCGGCCCGGGCTCCTGGCTCATGCCACGCTGTCTGCCGGGCGACCTCCCGTCATGGGGAGCCCGGCATGGGCGTCGGCGCGCGCGGGGGCCGCCGGGGTGCTGGACTGGCCGGCAGGGCCCGGCCGCGCCCTGCGCCCCGCGCCCCGCGTCCCGGCCTGGCCGGGCCCCCTCGGCCGCGCACGGAAAGGAGCTCCCCGGTGGGAGAGGATCGGCCGCCCCAAGCCTCCCACCGGGGAGGCTGAGGCTGTGCCCAGATAAATAAGGCCGCTTTGCAGGGAACCAGGCGGGCGCCTCCTCCTCCCCTCGCCCTCCCCGCGCTCCTCCGCGGCCGCCGCCGGCGCCGCGCGCGGCCCCCGCCCGGCCCCAAACGCCGCGCCCTGGCGCGCTCCCGGCGTGGGGAGCCAATCCGGGTTCGCGAGCCCAGGCGGGGGCGCCGATAATGCCGAGCCCCGCCCCCGCCCCGCCCCGGCCCCCGCGCGCGGCGCGCTCCCGGCACGGCGTCCACAAGCACGCGGCAGGCCCGGCACGCGCCCCCGCCCCCCTCGCCGCGGGCACCCGCACAATAACAAACCCGGGCGCGCGGCGGGCGGGCGGGGAGGGCGCGGGAGGCGGAAGGGAGGGCGCGGGAGGCGGAAGGGAGGGCGAGGGGAGGCGGGAGACCGGGCGCCGGCGGGTGGCCCAGGGGTCCGGGGTCCTATGGGAACGGGGGCGGCACCGCGCGTCCCTGCCCTTGGCCACCACCTGGGGAGGCGAGGAAGGTGAGACCCGGCCCAGAGGAGACAGGGTGGTCAGACCCCCATCTCTGGACCCTCCCGCCCAGCCGGCGGCCAGGGCCCTTCACAGCCCTCACACCCACCAGTGCACCTGCTGCGTGCCCGGCCAGAAGCGCCTCATTGGAGACCCTGGCACACCCGCAGAGCGCGAAAACAAGTGACTGCACAGATCATTTCAGATAGTGACAGTGAAAGCATCCGAGGGCTTGCGGTGGTGACTTCTGACGGGGGCGGGGGCGTCCTGAGGGTGCCCCACTGGAGCTGAGACCCCCACGGTGCGAGGGAGGGATGGCTCGGGAATGGGTGTGCAAAGATCCGAGCAGCCTGGCAAGTTCCCTCGGGAATAAACTGGAGGCTGGAGGCGGCGGCCGCTGCAGCCCAGGCAGGGGTGGGGCGTGCTGGGTAAGGTGGAGGACTCGGTGGGAACCGCTGGAGACCCAGACGCCCCAGCAGACTCAAGGCAGGAGAACGGAGGCCAATGGCGCCCCATCCTGGGGGTCTCCTGGGAGCAGGGTCGGGGGAGGGAGCAGGTGTGGGGAGAGCAGAGGGGGTCTGCATCGGGGAAGAGCTGCAGGGCTGAATGGGGCTCCTGAGAGGATCTGAACAGGAGTGAAACCAGCTGCTGTTCCCAGCGTCCTGATGGGAAGCCCGACCGGAGGGGCCGGTGTGAGACCTGGGGGCAGCGGGAAGGAGGGTCAGACTGACGGCATCCTGGCTGGGTCCCAGGGTGGGGCTGGTTCTGTGCGTGCTGTGGGGTGCCACTGGGTCTACCTGGGGTGAGCGCAGCTCTTCTGCGTAAGTCTTGCCCCGTACCTGGGTACTGACCAAAGAAGGTGCCCAGAGTGGGGCAGACAGGACGAACCCCGTGAAGACCGTTGGGGCAACAGGGGAGGGTCCGTCCAACCTATCCAGGAGTCTCCAGTGTGTGGGTCTGGCAGGCTGGCCTTCCGGCAGCAACTTCCACCCGGCTGAGAGCAGGCGTGGACCGCTCCTGGTAGGAAGGTTTCACCTCATGCTTGGGGCTCTCACCCCACAGCAGGTGCCAGGGTCTCAGGCAGAGAACAAGCTGTGCTTGTGTTGAGTCCCAGCTGGGGCTGGGGCTGGACACACCCCAACTGCATAGGGTGAGTGTGGGGGTCAGGCATTTGGGTCATGCAACCCTGGTGAGGCCCAAGAAGCCAGCCCTACCTTTGCGGAATCTAAGCGGGAGAGAATGCGTGAAAGATCATCGCAGAAAGGGTGACCGTGCTCCTTCAAAGCTGTGAACCCACCTACCCTCCACCTCTGTCACCAGCCATGACCCACGTACCCTCCACCTGTCACCAGCCGTGACCCACCTACCCTCCACCTCTGTCACCAGCCGTGACCCACCTACCCTCCACCTCTGTCACCAGCCGTGACCCACCTACCCTCCACCTCTGTCACCAGCCGTGACCCACCTACCCTCCACCTGTCACCCCACCTGTGCCAGGCAACTTTGTCTGTCTCCACCATGGTTGGTGGCAGCTGCTTCCCCATTGGTCTCTCCATCCCTCTCCCATCTGCTGTTCTCCCCAGGATGCAGTAGGGTCATTTTGCCGTGGAGACACGGTCCTGTTCTTCCCAGGGCCCTGTCCATTCTTGCTGTGGTCTGCACAGCCCTGAGGGCCTGGCACGGCTGGCCCACAGCCTCGCTCTATACCTGGCCCCTTGAGGATGAAGCTTCAGCCACACTGGCCTTCCTCTGGGTCCAGGAGGGTGCCCATCCTTCACCTGGAGCAGCCCTCACCGGGAGCACCCCTCCCTTCACCTGGAGCACCCCTCACCTGGGGCACCCCTCCCCTCACCTGGAGCACCCCCTCCGTTCACCTGGAGCACCCCCTCCCTTCACCTGGAGCACCCCTCACCTGGGGCACCCCTCACCTGGAGCACCCCTCCCTTCACCTGGAGCACCCCCTCCCTTTACCTGGAGCACCCCTCACCTGGAGCACCCCTCCCTTCACCTGGAGCATCCCTCACCGGGAGCACCCCTCCCTTCACCTGGAGCACCCCTGCAGCGCCCCTCCCCTAGAGCACCCCTTCCTGGAACATGTCCTCATGCGGAGCACCCTTACCTTAGAGCACCCTTCACCTGGAGCACTCCTCTCCTGGCACCTTGCCTGGAGCACTCCCTTGCCACCTGCACCTGGGTGACTACTTGCCTCTCAGACCTTGGCTAATGTGTTCTCCCCTAGGAGCCCTCCCTCAGGTGGACAGGGCCACAGACCCGTGTCCTCACCTCCCCAGCACCAAGGACCTTTTTTCTCAGCCTGTGTCTGCCTGTTGTCTGATGGTGCATTTGATGGGCTGTTGGTTGACTGTGCCCGCTGAGGACCAGTGTGGGGCCTTCTTCCTCACCACCCTGTCCCTGGGCACTGAGCCTCCAGCTCAGTACATCACGGATGCATGGCAAATGTGGCGAATGAGAGAGAAAGCGATGCACCAGCAGCATGGAAGGTGACTGGCACCAGCAGTTTGGATCCCCTCCCGTGGTGGGAGGACCATTGTAGAGGATACCTTTGGAGAACAGCTCACACCCCAGAGGGAAGTGGCTTGAACAAAGAGGGCTGCTCAGCAGACTCATCCCCCACCAGGGTCTCCTCTGGGGGATGTGGATCCTGCTCAGGCCCGCACCCCTCCATTGGTCCTGGGGACTGATATGTGCCTGGGCTCCAGAGGGCACCTGGAGCACCCCGCACCTGGAACACCCCTCACCTGGAGAAGCCTCATCCAGAGCACTCCATTCCTGGAGCACCCTCAGGTGGAGCACCCTCACCTAGAGAGCCCCTCACCTTGAGGACCCTCTCACCTAGAGAGTCCCTCACCTTGAGGACCCTCTCACCTACAGAGCTCCTCTCCTGCAGAACCCCTACCGGGAGCATGCTTCACCTGGGCCACCCCTGGCCTTGATGCCTGAGCACTGAGCTGTCTCCCATCTGGGTGGCTGGGAGGGCACTCTGGAGCCATGGGGTGAGGACCAGAGGCTGTGGCACATTTTGCCCTGAGACTTTGGAGGACTGCGAGGGGACCCACATTGACTTCAGCTCTGCACCTGTGGTGAGACCCCCACACTGGAAGGCAGAGTGATTGCTCCAGGGGTCACATGGTCATGCCACCCCCACCCGCTGCTCCTGCCCCCTGCCCAGAGCACAGCCCGAGAGCACCTGGGACCATCCATGTGAGGCCATGGGCTGTAGGTGTGTTTGGCCATCCTGGCCCCTCCACAGTCAGAATGGGCACCCATAGGCATGAGAACCTCACAGCCATGGGGGGTGACCTGAGTGCCATGGACGGTGGGATTTCTCTGATGCCCTCCAGCTCTGCTCCCTGCCTGGCCTGCCCCCATCAAGGCTGAGGATGACTCAGGGCCCAGCCATCACCATAGCAACATGCGTCGCCTAGCAATGGCGGTCTCCCGGCAACGGTTGTCTCCTAGCAATGGGATATTTTCCTGGGCCCTGGCTGGAGCCCGGTGGTTATTTTTAGCCCCGCAGCAAATCAGTCGGCAGCTGCATTTTCGGCTCCTTGAAGAGCTGCAAGGTGTGGAGGGGGGTGGGTCTCTTGGCAAAGGGAGGAAAGCATGCCCAAGATAGGAACCTTGCTGCCGTGGGCCCGGAGGTGCAGGCCTGTGGGTGGGCGAGGCCGGATCCTGCCTGTGCAGCGGGGCTGGTGGCTGGTGGAGGGGAGCCAGGGTTGTGCAGGCTGCCTGGGTGAGTTGGCAGCTAGGACTATGTCCTTGGGGGGCCCCCAAGTACCCTGAGCCTCGTAGGTCAGCTGGGTGGAGGGGACGCAGGCCAGTGCTCACAGTTGCGCTATCAGAGCGTGTTTCTGGGTGGCCCAGGGTCTGCCAAGCTCTTGGTACCCACTGCCCCTCAGTCATGGCAGCCATCTTCACTGTCCCAGACCTGGGACACCGAGGGAGGGGGCAGCAGGGGGGCCAGCAGAGCAGCACATTTGGCCAATCCCATGCAGGGCTCAGCTGGGGACACAGGAGAGGCTGGCCTCAGGTCAGCCCACACCTCTCTCCTCGCTCTGCTCCCAGTGAACGGAGATGCAGGCGGGCGTCTTGGCCTGCGATCTGACCCTTCTCTCTATGCTTCCTCCCCATTTCCTGGGGGACTCTGTTCACTGGTGCATCCAAACTCCCCAACTCCCTCAGGGCCAGTGGGCTGGGTGGGGCCGGCCTTACCCGCCTCCTCTTTGCAGTGGGTCAAAGGCTCTGAGGCAGATGGAGCTTCCAGCAAACAAGGAGCCCCCAGGGCTCACCCTTTGTGGTTCCTGGTTTACTCGAAATTCCATCTGCCTCAGGGCCTTTGCCCCTCTGCTCCCCAGGGTTGAGGCTCCCTTCCTGTCCCCTTCCATCAACTGCCCTCGCCCTTGGTGTTGCTCCCCCAGGGCCCCAGCCAGTCCAGCTCCTGCCCTGGCTGCGACAGCTCCTGTTCTGTGCCCGGCACTGTGGTTTCCCGTCGAGTCACTCTGTGGAGCAGCCACCTGTCCACAGCCGCCTCCCTGCCGGACATGGGGCTGCCTGTGCCAGGCACTGCTCGGGCCTAGCTCATGGCAAATGCAGCATTGGTGTCCTCCACCGACCAGGACCTGTGTCTAGTGGGGAGAACGCAACGGCCAAAGGCGGGAACCGTGTGGCAGTGACCAGGGTCTCGACTGCCCCCACCTCAGCACCCCCTCAGGCTGCAGCTCCAAGGACCCTCTGGGCAAGCCAGGAACAGAAACTAAGTCTCAGGCTTCGGGACAAGCTGTGAGGCTGACCGCCCCGCTTTGGGCTGAGGGGCCTTGTGATACAGTGTCTGTGTTTGGCCACGGCCAGGCCGACCCCCAGGCAGGGGAGATGATTGTCCCAGCCTCTGCACGCTCCAGGGGCAGCCTCACGCGCCAGGCCCAAGCTTCCTGAAGCAGAACCTGAGGGAAGTTCTTCCTTTTGTCTGACTTGAGTACATCTTGCTGCTGTCGTTCTTGTTCTGACCTGGGTGGAAATGGAGAGAGGCCCCTTCTGGGGTTTCAGGGCACTGGAGGGTCTGGGGCTTGGGGCACTTCAGGAGGCCCCCAAACAGCACAGACAGCCGGGATGTCACCTGAGCTTGGGGATGGCTTCCAGGCTCTCCTCCGCCCGGCCACCCCCCACTTTGTGGGTATTTACTGAACGCCTGCACCGTGGCATGTCGGATCCTGTACCCATAGCAACTGAGGCCAGACTCGGCCTTCCAGGCCCCTCCTGTAGGCAGCAGAGCACCCACTGATGCCAGGTGCTTTCCTGGGTGGGGCCAGGGGCTGTGAGGAGAAGGGTGTGTGTCCAGGGCTTCTCCTGTGGGTGGCTGCATTGGCACTGGACCCCTGGAGATGAGGCTGGGGAGGAGGCAGGGACGCCGGGGTTGAGGCATCAACTCGGGGTCAGGCATGTGCCCTTCCAGACCAGGTAACCCCAGGAACCCCTCCCTCCAACCACAGACACTGGTCCCTCTCTGGGGGAGGCCTGGAGGGAGGTCCAGGGCCCAGGCTGCCAGGAGGGTGTCTGGGGCTGACCCTCACGCTGCCACCAGAGGGCGCCTGGAGCCCACCGTGCTGACCCGGGGACCGCCAAGCGGCAGCGGCCGGGAGGACAGGATGGCTGCAGCCGTCGACCCGCTTGCCTCTCCCGACCCCTGAGTAGAGGCAGCAGCCCATCCGTGTGCCTCTCCCCACCTCTGCCAGCACCTCATGTGCCCAGCCCCAGGCAGAGTCTACTCTTTTACCTTTAAGATTTTTATTTTTAGTTTATTCATTTATTTATTTATTATTTATTTTGGGATGGAGTTTCGCTCTGTAGCCCAAGCTGGAGTGCAGTGGTGCGATCCCGGCTCACTGCAAGCTCTGCCTCCCGGGTTTCATGTCATTCTCCTGTCTCAGCCTTCTGAGCAGCTGGTACTACGGGCGCCCGCCACCATGCCCAGCTATTTTTGTTTATTTTTAATAGAGATGGGGTTTCACCGTGTTAGCCAGGATGCTCTCCATCTCCTGACCACAATTGTGCTCCACCCGCCTCGGCCTCCCAAAGTGCTGGGATTACAGGCGTGAGCCACCACGCCCGGCCTATTTTTATTTTTTTTTTGTTTTTGTTTTTGTTTTTGTTTTGGGAGGGGGGATGGAGTCTCGCTCTGTCACCCAGACTGGAGTGCAGAGGCGCGATCTCGGCTCACTGCAAGCTCCGCCTCCTGGGTTCACGCCATTCTCCTGCCACAGCCTCCCAAGTAGCTGGGACTACTGGCGCTCGCCAGCACACCCGGCTAATTTTTTGTATTTTTAGTAGAGACGGGGTTTCACCGTGTTAGCCAGGGTGGTCTCGATCTTCTGACCTCGTGATCCTCCCGCCTCGGCCTCCCAAAGTGCTAGGATTACAGGCGTGAGCCACTGCGCCCAGCCTTTTATTTTTATTTATTTATTTTTTTGAGGCGGAGTTTCACTCTTGTTGCCCAGGCTGGAGTTGCAATGGCACGATCTCAGCTTACCGCAACCTCCGCCTCTCAGGTTCAAGCAATTCTTCTGCCTCAGGCTCCCTAGTAGCTGGGATTATAGGCGTGAACCACCACGCCCAGCTAATTTTGTATTTTTAGTAGAGACGGGGTTTCTCGCGGCCGGGCGCGGTGGCTCAAGCCTGTAATCCCAGCACTTTGGGAGGCCGAGACGGGCGGATCACGAGGTCAGGAGATCGAGACCATCCTGGCTAACACGGTGAAACCCCGTCTCTACTAAAAAATACAAAAAACTAGCCGGGCGAGGTGGCGGGCGCCTGTAGTCCCAGCTACTTGGGAGGCTGAGGCAGGAGAATGGCGTAAACCCGGGAGGCGGAGCTTGCAGTGAGCTGAGATCCGGCCACTGCGCTCCAGCCCAGGCGACAGAGCGAGACTCCGTCTCAAAAAAAAAAAAAAAAGAGACGGGGGTTTCTCCATGTTGGTCAGGCTGGTCTCGAACTCCCAACCTCAGGTGATCCACCCGCCTGGCCTCCCAAAGTGCTGGGATTACAGGCGTGAGCCACCGTGCCCGGCCTATTTTTAATTTTTATTGAGACAGGGTCTCACTCTGTCGCCCAGGATGGAGTGCAGTGGTGCAATCACAGCTCACTGCAGCCTCACCCTCCTGGGCTTAAGCAATCCTCCCACCACAGCCTCCCAAAGTGCTGGGACTACAGGCATGAGCTGCTGCACCCAGCTAATTTTTGTATTTTTAGTGGAGTTGAGTTTTCACCATGTGGGCCAGGCTGGTCTTGAACTCCTGACCTCAAGCGATCGTCCTGCCTCAGCCTCCCAAAGTGCTGAGATTACAGGCATGAGCTGCCACACCCAGCCTTAATTTTTATGTAATTAATTATTTTTTTGGAGACGGATTCTCGCTTTGTCACCCAGGCTGAGTGCAGTGGCGTGATCTCAGCTCACTGCAACCTCCACCTCCCAGGTTCAAGCGATTCTCCTACCTCAGCCTCATGAGTAGCTGGGACTACAGGCTTGCACCACCACCCTCAGCTAACTTTTGTATTTTTAGTAGAGATGGGGTTTCACCATGTTGGCCAGGCTGGTCTTGATCTCCTGACCTTGTGATCCGCCTGCCTTGGCCTCCCAAAGTGCTGAGATTACAGGTGTGAGCCGCTGTGCCTTGCCAATTTTTGTTTTTAATCGTAAGATATACATCATAACATCTACCATTTTACCCATTTTAAAGTGTGTAGTTCGGTACTGTGGAGTACATTTACGTCGCTGTGTAATCAGGCTCCAGAGTTCTGTCCCCACTCAGCCCCAACCCCTCATTCCCCTCCCCAGCCCCTGCTCCACTTTCTGTCCTCGTGACCGTGGCTACTGTAAGGTGACTCACAGAAGTGGAATCCAACAGGGTTTGTCCTTTTGTCTCTGGCTTATTTTGCTCAGCATATAAGCCTCCAGGCTCATCCAGGCTGTAGCGGGTGTCAAAGGGCCAGAATTTCATTCCTTTTTATGGCTTAATAATGAACCCACCGCCAGGGGGCGCGGTGGCTCACCCCTGTAATCCCAATACTTTGGGAAGCCAAGGCGGGCGGATCACCTGAGTTCGGGAGTTCAAGACCAGCCTGACCAACATGGAGACACCTCCTCTCTAATAAAAATACAAAATTAGCCAGACGTGGTGGCACATACCTGTAATCCCAGCTACTCGGGAGGCTGAGGTAGGAGAATCGCTGGAACCCAGGAGGGGAGTTTGCAGTGAGCCAAGATTGCGCCATTGCACTCCAGCCTCGGCAAAGACCAAAACTCTATCTCAAAAAAAAACCCACAAAAAACAAAAAAATAGACCCACTGCACTTGCTTGTCCACTCAGCTGCAGACAGGCATTTGGGTGGCCTTCACCTTTTGGGGATTATGATGGCAACTTCTGACCTGCACCTCGCCCAGAGAAAGCGGCTGGCCGAGCCCAGTAGGCGCCTACAGGGGTGCCCATGGCTGCTCCATTCACGCCCCTCCAGGAGCCCCGTCTGGCCCGGGGTCAGTCCTCCGGCAACCATGGGGTGCTGCTAGGTCTGAGGAAAGGCGCCTAACCCTGTGGGCTGCGCGCTTCACAGCAAGACCCCCTCCTGCAGACAGCCTTACCAAAACCAGAGGCCTGGCCCAGCTCCAAAGCGCAGCCCCGAGGCCAGGCCCTCCCCAGCTCTGGAGTCATGACCCCTCTCCTCTGGGGCACCACCTGCCTCTGGGAGGGGTCAGCAGGACCGGGCCGGGTTGGGAGGGATGTGGCCAACAGGCTCAGGTCCCAGTGTTAGGAAGAACCAGGCCCGGCCGCCCGATCAGGAGGCAAGGCGGAGCCACCAGGTGGGCCACCATCCCTGCCCCTGAGGTTTCAGTGGACATCAAAACCCTGGCTCCATCTAGGGCTCCAGGACTCCGATCTGGACGGCGCAGGGGGCGAGGCCAGGGTGAAGGCGCGGCGAAGGGGCGACGCACAGCATGGGCTGGGCAAGGAGCCTCCCTCCCGCGCCGAGGACCCCCACAATCCCCGAGGTGCTGGGACCGTGGGACCGTCCTCCCGCGGCGCCGGGGCTCCGGCCCCGCCCCCGCTCCGCCTCTCCCCCGCTATTGGCGGAAAGTTCCGGGCCGCGCCGCGATTGGCCGGGGCGCCGCAGGCCCCGCCCCCTTCCCGACCCTCTCCAAGGCGGCCAGGGCGCCCCGGCTGCGCGGCGGGCGGAGCGGCCGCAGGCATGGGGGCTTCGCCGGGGCCGGGCGGCCGGCGCGCCGGGCTGCTCCCGCCGCCGCCCGGACCCGCGCCCCGCCGGGGCAGCGGTAGTGGGAGCCCCAACTACCCGGACGCCGCCCGCCGCGCCATGGGGTTCCCGGCCCCGGCGCTGCTCTGCGCGCTGTGCTGCGGCCTCCTCGCCCCGGCCGCCCGCGCCGGCTACTCCGAGGAGCGCTGCAGCTGGAGGGGCAGGTACGGCCCGGGCGGGGGGCTGTCCCCGCACTTGGGACGGGGTGCGCTGCGGCCCAGACCCCCCAGGCGCCCCTCGGAGCGCGCAGAGCGCTTGTCCAGTTTCCCCCTCCGCGAGGCGGCCCCGGGAGGCTGCGGGGGCTGCGCCGGGCCGGGACTCACCCCCGCCTCAGCGCCCCGTCCCGTCCTGTCCCCAGCGGCCTCACCCAGGAGCCCGGCAGCGTGGGGCAGCTGGCCCTGGCCTGTGCGGAGGGCGCGGTTGAGTGGCTGTACCCGGCTGGGGCGCTGCGCCTGACCCTGGGCGGCCCCGACCCCAGCGCGCGGCCCAGCATCGCCTGTCTGCGGCCGGTGCGACCCTTCGCGGGCGCCCAGGTCTTCGCGGAGCGCGCAGGGGGCGCCCTGGAGCTGCTGCTGGCCGAAGGCCCGGGCCCGGCAGGGGGCCGCTGCGTGCGCTGGGGTCCCCGCGAGCGCCGGGCCCTCTTCCTGCAGGCCACGCCACACCGGGACATCAGCCGCCGCGTGGCCGCCTTCCGCTTTGAGCTGCGCGAGGACGGGCGCCCCGAGCTGCCCCCGCAGGCCCACGGTCTCGGCGCAGACGGTGAGTGGCGGTCTGGGTGAGACGGGGTGGGAGTTCCGAAGTGTCACCCTGCCTGGGCTTGGCGCGAATGTGCCTTGTCGGCCCCACTGTAGAGGGAAAAAGTGAGCTCCAAGGGTTGAATGGACTTGTCAAAGGCCACACAGCCAGGGACTGCCCGGGAAGGATGGCCTTCCCGCCCTCCCTCCCCGATTCATCTCGGGAAGGAACTGGCAGGAGCAGAGTGGAAGAAAGGGGAGACCGAGCAGGGCAACCCTGGGGCTCTGGTCCCTGAAGGGTTAGGGGAGGGGATGGTGGGGGCAGAATCAAAGCCTCGGGCCAAAGCTGTCCGGGGCTCCCTGGCCCAGCAGTGACCTCTCTCCCCTCCCCCAGCCCAACCAACAAAAGTCCAGTGTGCAGCCCGGTCACCATGGAGACGCCACCCGCCTCCCTTCAGGGCACCAGGCCCAGCTCTTGGCTCTCCTGGAGCTTGGCACCTGACCCTGAAAGGGATGGGCTCTCACTATTCTGCCCCCTGGCCCTGGGCCAGGGACCCCAGACCACCCTTCCTCTGCCCCCACCTCCTATCACCCTAGCTGGGCTGCTGCTCTTCAGGCCCCAGATTCGGGAAAGTAGAGGGGTCCCAGATGCTAGGGTGCGTCTTCAGACGGGGGTGCAGAAGGGCAGCCCAGGACAGCTGATCACTAGGCACGGCCCCCAGGCCCATGTCTGTGCCCATTCCTGCCTTGGAGATGCCTGCAGGTGTGTTTCCTGAGTACAGGTGTCGCCCAGGGCATGCACACTTGCTGTGTGGCTCCCTGGGACCCCCAGGTGCCATCAGGCCCTGAGCGCGGGCTCTGCTCATTTGCCCACTGCCTCCTGCCGCCTGTGCAAACAAGGGACGGGGCCTGAGGTGCTGCTGGGAGAGGGCAGGGTCTGTCCTCACCACCCCCTCTGCATGCCAGGTGCCTGCAGGCCCTGCAGCGATGCTGAGCTGCTCCTGGCCGCATGCACCAGCGACTTCGGTGAGTGTCCCCACCATGGGGGGAGCTTGGAGCCTGCCTTCCCCTGAATGCCCACCCCAGCCACATGCCTCCCCGCAGTAATTCACGGGATCATCCATGCGGTTGCCCATGACGTGGACCTGCAGGAGTCTGTCATCACCGTGATGGCTGCCCGTGTCCTCCGCCAGACACTGCCGCTGTTCGGGAGGCGGGGATCCGGGGAGGAGGGGCTGACCTCCATTCGTACCCCACTGCGCTGTGGCGTCCGCCCAGGCCCAGGCACCTTCCTCTTCATGGGCTGGAGCCGCTTCGGGGAGGCCTGGCTGGGCTGTGCCCCACGATTCCAGGAGTTCCGCCGTGTCTACGAGGCTGCCCGCACTGCCCACCTCCACCCCTGTGAGGTGGCGCTGCACTGAGGGGCCAGATGCTGGGAGGGGCTGGTAGGAGGGAGGGTGGGGGGCCCACTGCTTTGGAGGTGATGGGGACTATCAATAAGAACTTTGTTCACACAAGCTGCTATGGACCTGGTCTGCTGTGTCCAGCCCAGCGTTGGGCCTGCCTTGCAGCTGTGAGGACGGCTCCAATTCCTGCCTCTGGCGGGAGAATGACACTCAGGGGAATGGTATCTTGTTCAAGACCATTTGGCAACTGAGAGGGAGAGCAAATGTGAGGAGGAGCTACACCCACATTCTGGGGAGGGGCTGCCGCTGGGTGGGGGCACATGGGGACCTGCACTCATGCAAGCTTCTGCTCTGCTGCACCCACCAGCCCCGTCCTTGCCTGTGCCCCAGCCCGCTACCCTGGCTGGCTCCCACTTGCCTCCCATGCCAGGTGCTTCTGGGGCTCAGCAGGAGAAGAAAGGGGCAGAGGAGCATAGGGTCCCTCGGGTATGGTGGGGGCAGGCGGGCACACAGTGCTCCGGCTCTGAGCCAGGCCTGTGAGGGAAGGGGCTGCCGTCTGGCAGGGTGCCGACTTCCCCCGTGGCCGCTGTGAGCCCGCAGAGTCATCCTTGGCCCCGTCCCGCCCTTGGGGAAGAATGGGCCCCTCTGTCCGCAGGCCCCTTCGACGTGCTGAGCATCCAGACGCGGCGAGGAGCCCGTAGGGTGTGGGGTCCCCTCTGCAGGGTCCTGCTTGTTGCCTGTTTCCGGCAGGCAGGGTGCACAATGGGTTCTCTAAGGACCGTTTCCCGCCACTGGCCCCATTGTCACTGTCTCCGCCTTCCTCCTCAGCCTTTCAGCCACATAAAGGGCCAGTGAGGTTTGGGACAGCCACAGCCCAAGGTCCCGAGGCTAAAAGCCCCTGGGTGGGGGTGTTCCAGGCCCCCTGGCCCTGTGCGAGCTGCCTCCTCTCACCCCAACCCCTCGGATCCTGGGAAAGAGACAGTCACAGCTGAAGGGCCAGGGGACCCCTGGGCTGAGGCCCAGAAATGGCTTTCCGTTCTCGCCTGGGCCAGGGGTGGGGGTGGAGGCCAGAGGCCCTGCCCAGGCAGACGCAGCCCCCAGCTTTCAAGGGGGAAACTGAGACTGTGTGAGGGACACAGCTGTGCAGAGCCCACAAACACGGTCCTTTCTCCAGGTGGGCGGATATAGATGCCTGATAAGTGCCATGCTCTCTGTGGACACCTGGGGGGTCACCTCCAGCGCCGTCCTGGGACTTCCATGGGGCAGGCTGTCTGAAAGTTGCACGTGCAAGTTACCCCTTCACACAGATCGCCTGCCTGCCACAGGGCTGACGAGGACAGGCGTCATGCATTGCGGGGGGTCCTCTCACCTTCTGCCCCTCCTCAGGTTCCTTGCTGCTTCTCTCCTCTCCCCAGAGTCCCAACTGGCATGCTGAGGGCTCAGACACAGGACCGCTCCTCTGGGGCAGCCAGCCTCCAATAACCCCTGAACAACCTCCACTTTTCCATCTCCAACCCTGAGCACTTCCTGGGACCCACAGCCTTACATCCACCTGCCCCCAGCCCCAAACATCCACAAAAAGTAGAGGAGGAGGTAGCCCGTGTGCCCTCCCGCACCGCCTCCTCCACTCTTGTCTTGGGGAGGCTTTCCCATGGGCCGAGCAACCCCCTCACCTTTGGCACCTGCCCTGCTTCTCTGGCCAGCTTTCTACAACCTCCCCTTTTCGGCCACACCCAAGTCCACCTGTTCACAAATAGCCGGGGTGGGCCCTGGCCACACCCTGGCCTCTACCCACCTATCCCAGGAAGTGCCTGAGCCCTGCACCTACAGACCCTCCCAGAGAAAGCCCTGGCTTTGCAACCAGCCATCTTCTCATGAGACACAGGCAGACGCAGGGCCACAGGAGCACCATGGTGCCCCAGTGGGTCTTGGAGCATTAGGCCAGGGGCTTCATGCCTGCCCTGGGGAAGGGTGGCCAAAGTGGCATGGGAGATAGGGAGATGGTGTGGGTGAGCACATGGGCAGGAGCTACAGGAGCCTGGGGCCTGTGGATCACAGACACCTCCAGGCAAGTGCCAATTCACACAGGCACAGGTGGCTGGGGGTTGCCCAAAGACCAAGAAGCAGAGTGCCTGGTGTGGACGTGAGAGGAGTGGGAAGGCCGGGCGTGGGGCTCACGCCTGCAATCCCAGCACTTTGGGAGGCCGAGGCGGGCGGACCATGAGGTCAGGAGATGGAGACTATCCTGGCCAACATGGTGAAACCCAGTCTCTAATAAAACACAAAAAATTGGCCGGGCATGGTGGCATGCACCTGTAATCCCAGCTACTCAGATGGCTGAGGCAGAGGAATCACTTGAACCTGGGAGGCAGAAGTTGCAGTGAGACAAGATTGCGCCACTGCACTCCAACCTGGGCGACAGAGTGAGACTCAGTCTCAAAAAAAAAAAAAAAAAAAAAAAAAAAAAAAAAAAAAAAAAAAAAAAAAAAAAAAAAAAAAAAAAAAACTGCACTACCACACTGGAGGCGACAGGAGAATGAAAGACTGCAGTCTCAAAAAAAAAAAAAAAAAAAAAAAAAAAAAAAAAAAAAAAAAAAAGAAAAAAAGATGAGTGGAGAGTGCACACTAGAGCCAGTTAGGTACATTCATCCAATAAGCTTTTCCCCAGTGCTTCCTAGGTAACTGCTCTAGGTGCAGGAAACAATGCAGGCAGCAGGACAGGAATGGGCTGTCAGCTCCCCCTAGAGCTCAGTGTACACCCTTCCTTTCCTGGGAGGGCTGTTCCAGGCCCCCAGGGGACAGGACACACTGCGCTGGGTAGGGCTGGTGCCAACATGTGGGCAGGCCTGTGAGACACTCTGCATTTGGGGGCTGTGGTCTGGGGAATACCCATGTCTGGAAGCAGCCTCTCTCCCTGCAAGGGCTCCCGACCCCAGCCACGGATACTTAAGGAAGAGCCAGGCCAGGGTGCGCACAGGCAATCGCCGACATCCGTGGCTGTCCAGCCCTACCCTGGGTGTGGAGGTCGTGGCCCAGCTGCCTGACCCAGAGCTCGGCTCTTCCATTTGCACCTCCCACCCCCGGCTTCACAAGGTCACCTCCAGGAACTCGGTCTTTTTGTGTGTTGTTTTCTGGAGAAGGAAGGTGATCTCCCAACTCCCGGGGCTGTCTGCCTCCCCTGCAGCTGGGCAGGCGACAGAGGCCCCCCACCTGTGACATCCGGCTTTCCTCCCACCACACTCGCCTGAGAGCCAGCATCTGTTTTCTTGGGCTTGCTCAAGCTCTCCTCCGTGTCAGCCCCTCCTCCATGCCCTTCTCCCTCAGACCCCAGCCCCCCATCCCTTTCCCGCCCACTGGGGTTCATCGCTCAGGCTGCAGGAGGAAACTGGAAGGACGTCCTCCAGGGGTCTGGCTGGCGCTGGGTGTCCGAGTCAGTTGAGCGCCCCCCACCAGTCTCCCCGAGGCAGTCATGGGTGTGCTGCCGCCTGGACGATGTCTCATCCCGGGGAGCGGTTTTCCCACCGGCTCCCTGGGCTCCAGCTGCCCCACGCGAGCCCCCGTTTGCTTCTGGGGCCAAGGCAGGCTTCCCTTCCTTCCACGCCAAAGACGCGCAGCCACGTTTCCCTGGGCCTCTAGCCCGTGAGATCGCCGGGTGTATCCCAACTCCCGCCGGGACGTGCGCTCCCCCAGGGCAGGGCCTGCCTGTCCCCTTCCGCGGGTCGCCAGCAGCCAGCACAGGCCGCAGACAGCGGTCCGCAGAGCGGACCAAGGAAGCCGACCCTGGCAGGCTTGGAGCGGAACAGGGCGGGGCAGAGCCCGCGAGGCTGCCGCTCGCCGGAACCCGCGGGAGGGCAGCCGGGCCGGGCGGAGCGCACCGCGCGCCGGACCGACCGCGCCGGCTCTGCCGGCCACTTCCGGTGTCGCGCGGCGGCTCCCGGCAGGAGGGGAAGGGCAAACCGCCAGCTCCGGGCCAGGGTGCGAAGGCCGCGGACCCGAGCCGGGAACGACCTTGGGCGGACGACCCTGAGCCGCGCGTCCCGCAGCCATGGAGCAGGACGACCCGGCCGAAGCGCTGACGGAGCTACGCGAGCGGCGGCTGGGCGCGCTGGAGCTGCTGCAGGCTGCGGCCGGCTCGGGCTTGGCGGCCTACGCGGTGTGGGCGCTGCTGCTCCAGCCCGGCTTCCGGCGCGTGCCGCTGCGGCTGCAGGTGCGGGGCGGGACCAGGTCGGGGGCGGGGCCGGGTAGGGGAGCGCGGCTGCCGCTCAGGGTCTCAAGGTCTGGGCGGGGCCGGGGTGAGCTCCGCCCCACGTCGAGTGGTTCGGGCCGGGAGCGGCCAGTGGACTCCCGCCGCCTCCCGGTCCAGGTGCCCTACGTTGGCGCGAGCGCGCGGCAGGTGGAGCACGTGTTGTCGCTGCTGCGAGGCCGCCCCGGAAAAACGGTGGATTTGGGCTCTGGCGACGGCAGGATCGTAAGTGCCCGTGTCTGGGTCTTCGCTGCCCCACACCCCCTACCTGCCGGCGGGCGCCCCTGTCCCCATCCTGGTTCCCACACTCTCGGTGCCCACAGGTGCTGGCGGCCCACAGGTGCGGCCTCCGCCCAGCCGTGGGCTACGAGCTGAACCCGTGGCTGGTGGCGCTGGCGCGGCTGCACGCCTGGAGGGCCGGCTGTGCCGGCAGCGTCTGCTATCGCCGCAAGGATCTCTGGAAGGTAACCTGGGGAGCCCTGGCCACCCGCTGACAGCCCAGGGTGCGGCTGACACCTGCCAGGGCTGGGGGCCGGGACTCGGAAGCTGCCGTTACCCCGTGCCCACCAGGCCTGTTCCCCGCTGGGGCAACTCCTCTTCCGGCAGGTGAGCCTGAGGGACTGCCGCAACGTGTCTGTGTTCCTGGCCCCTAGCGTGGTAGGTCTGGGGTTGCCAGCCCTGCTGGGAAGTTCCAGCCACACCCCAGGGTGTTTGCTGCTCTGAGGCCTGGGCCCGCCGGGTGGGTGCAAGGCTTGGGGGCCCCGCCCCCCCCAACTCTGCTGCTCTCTCCCTCAGCTCCCACTGCTGGAGGACAAGCTGAGAGCAGAGCTGCCTGCCGGGGCCCGCGTGGTGTCTGGGCGCTTCCCGCTCCCCACCTGGCAGCCTGTGGCCGTGGCTGGCGAGGGCCTGGACCGAGTCTGGGCCTACGATGTTCCTGGGGGTGGGCAGGCTGGGGAGGCCGTCTCCTCGCGGATACCCATCCAGGCTGCCCCCTGACCTAGTTCTGCCTCCGTCCTGGGGGCCCTTGTTTCTCAGGCCAGCTGAGTGTTCAAATACGATAAAGACTCTGTGGGTTGTATCCCGACTCATGTTTCGTGGGAGACGGGGTGGGAGGGCTCCATGCTGGCTGTGATGGGCTTTGCTCTGGTCCTGGGAGACGGGCTAGTGGCTGCCGGTCCTTGGATGCTGGAGCTTGGCTGGAGGCACAGCCCCCACTTTCCAGGGGTTCCCTGAACCTGCCAGCTTCCTCAGCCTCAGGATTTCTTGCTTGTACCTGCTCAGAGGGACCATGCTTAAGTGACCTGCCCATCTGTGGATGGGTCTGCCTCTAGTGCCTGAGGCAGCCGTCATCCTCCATTCCGGCCAGACCAGGGCCCTGGGGTCACACCGTGCTCCCTCTCGAGAGCCCACCTGCCCAGGTGCTGGTCCACGTACTCCTGTAGCTCAGAAAGTTGCTCTTCAGCCACCGTGGCCCGGACCAGCAGCTGTGCCCGCTCCCGTTCCAGCTCTGCCTGCCATGGGGGTATAAACCATGAGCTGGGGCACGGCGTGAGGAGGGGCCTGGGCCAGCCCTTGCCTCCTACCTGGGTGCTGCGGGAGAAGTCCCGGAGCTTCTGGTGGATCTGGGCCCAGGACGCAGCGTCCAGGCCCCTGTGAGGAGAGAGGAAAGGAGGAGTGGTTTCAGACCTGTGATGGTGCTGAGTCAGGTTCCCAGAGCCAGAAGGGGACACCTGGGAGTGAGTGAGGGAGGCGTTGGCCCCCCATGCTCCTGTGGCCCAGCCTAGGCCTTGGAGCCATCCGTGTGTGGGGGCAGCCTGGGCCCAAGGGGTCTGCTGGCTGCTCAGGGAGGGCTAAACCACAAGGCTGGCCCAGACAGTGACCCCAGCGTCAACAGGGATGCCACCCCCACACGGGTGTGCCCTAAACCCTGGGAGATGGTCCTTGGGGAGCCCTGCCCATTGTACAGCTGCGAACATGGAGGCCCAGTGGCAAGGGCTGGCCAGGTCACCAGGCACCCTGCTCCCACCCCCCGTGTCCTCCAGGTCTTAGCGGAAACCTCCCTCAGGTGTGCTCTCTCTGATCCTCTGTGTTTAAGGCCAGCTCCACCTGCAGCAGCTCCTCTTCCCTCTCCTGTGATTATCAGTGTCCCCGGGACCCACGGAGGGACCCCAGTGTGGGGACGTGCCACTGAGTGTGTTGCTGTGACCAGACTCTGCCTGGCAGGGGCTTGGTGGAGCCACTGGGAGCCCCAGGGTGCAGGTGTTGCACTCTCTGCCCATCCCCCACAAGTCTCCCTCACACCCATGAGGGCACTCACTGTGGCTCTGATGTTCCCCCCTGGGAGGCTCCACCGGGTCCCTTCTGTGGGGATGAGAGCAGTGCCTCAGGCCCGCCGTGCTGTACAGGTTTGTGGTGGGGACATCTCAGTTGGCTGAACAAGGCAGGCCCCTCAGAAGCCTGGGGCTGAGCTCTCTTTTGAGCCCAGGATGAGGCCTGGGGCAAGTTCTGGGGCCAAGGCCAGTGTGGGTCAGCGGGTGGGTGGGGGACACCTGGGCCTGGAGCTTCTAGGGGTCTCTAGCCTCACCTGGTCCTCCCGATGGCTGAAGTCAGTGACCAGGGGCACGGGCAATGGTTCCAGGTCCAAGCTGGCTGCGCCAAAAATAGCTTGGGGGTTCCCAGGTGCCCTGTCAGCGTAGACCAGTGTCTGTCTTGGGCCACTCCTGCTGCACACCAAGCCTTTGAGACACAGGCTTAAAGACCCACAGATGCCTGATGCCTCCCACCCCAGCAGGGCCCACCTGTAGGCAGCCAACAGCTCCTCATGCCTGCGGCTCAGATCCACCAGCCGCTTGTGGTAGGTGCGGGCAGCCCGGGCCAGCTGCTGCTCACGGCTTCGGTGCGCTGCCCGGATGTCCTCCAGAGTGGCCTCCAGGAATGTCCGGAGGGCCGTGGTGGCTGGCGCCTGGCCTGCACTGTCTGCGTGCTCCTGGAGGTGGCGGGCTGTGTCCGCGTGGGGCCCACCCCCCATCTCTCCAACCATCCCCCCACCCCAGCAGGCTGAGTAGTGTGGGTGCCCCGGGGTCTCCCTGAAGCTATCCAACACACCCAGGCCAGGCTTGGGCTCCCCAGGCCTCAGGGTGCTCCTGCAGGGCTCACCACCGCCTCCCGAGCACAGTGCTGCAGCCGCAGGACGTACTCATCCTTCAGCGTCTTGAGCTGCAGCTGCAGCCGGGCGTTCTCGGCCTCTGCCTGTCGGAGCTGGCCTCGGCAGCTGCACAGCACCTGGGGTGGAGGCAGCCCTCATCCTGTGCCCTTGGAGTGGACCCCGGCTGAGTTTTTGGGCCCCTACCCTCCAGGTCTCCAAGCAGGCAGGGCAGGGCCTCACCACAGCCTGTGTGGCCAGTTGCTGTCCAGCTGCTCTGGCCTCCTCTCGGGCTCCCTGCAGCTGCCGGCCCAGGGCTTCCCTGAGGACACAGAGGTGAGGCTCAGGCCCACGGTGAGGGGTTCTCTCTGCTCCGGGATGGGGCCCCAGGTGAGACAGCCACTCACACACGAGTCTCCAGTGCCTGCTGCCGGGCCTCCTGACGCTCCAGCGCCCACTTCACTTGTTTCTGCAGTTGCTCCTGGCCTCCCAGCAGCTGTGGGGTATATAGGGCTGGCTGGACGAGACCCTAGGTTTGGAGTCCCAGGTGCTGCCCTCTCCCCTGAGCTAGGTGGCTACACACTCACGCCATTCCCCAGCCTCTGCTGCTCATTCTCAGGGTTCATGGCGTTCTTAGGCTGCACCTGAATGGAACGGAGGGCAGGGAGGGCTAAGGGGTGGGTGAGCCCCAGTCTCGGTGAGGCCCCTGCTGAGGCTTCCCTCTGGCCTCTCCCAGCCAGGCCCTCTGTGTGCTCATGTGACCTGGAGTCTGCAGTCATCAGAGTGTCCAGGCACCTGGGCTTTGTGTCTTAGCTCTTGGGCTGGTGCCCGGCGGTGCATGGGGTCAGCCTCCACTGGGACCGCACAGCCCTGGCTGGTGTGATCTCCATGCAGCTCCAGCTCCAGCACCCGGCTCTCCAGTCGAAGGATCTGTAGGACAACTGGCATGAGCGGGTACACCTGCCTGCAGGCCACCTGGGGGAGGTGAACATTCACCTGGTGCACGCTCAGGGACACGCAGCACTCACAGGGCAGGCCAAGACCCACAGATGCCATGTGCGTGTGCACACCCGTGCAGGGCACGTGTCCTGGGCCTGCACCCGTCTGTCCCCCATGCACTGAGGCTGGCTCACACGGCTGCTTACCTCACTCTTCAGCTGAAAGATTTCAGCCTCATGCTGCTCCTGTAGGCGGTGGGTTGTGATCTGAATGTCGACCAGCTCCTTGGAGATCTGTGGGTGGCCAGGTGAGAGGTGGCATCTGTGGAGCCCTGCTGGCACCCTCCCTCCTCACAGCACCCTGGGGCCCCACACCCACCTGCAGCTGCTGCTCCTCACTGAGCACCAGATCTGGTGGGACCTCTGCTTCCAGGCTGGTGGCCCACGCTGTGGTGCCCCACGCTGTGGTGCCCCCAGGAGCTCCTGGCAGCCAGTCCTTGGCTCGTAGCACAACCTGGGGAGGCACCGCCACCCATTCCCCAGGTGGGTCCCTGGAGCGCTGGCCCCACTCCCATGCAGTCACTGACCCCCTCTCCCTGCCTGGCTGAGCAGCAAAAGTTCCTCCCTTGGCTGAGATTAGACCCAGGGTGCAGGCACCTGCACCCTCCTGGCCCCTGGGGGAAAGGGCAGACTCCAGCCCCGTGGCAGGAGTGGTGCGTCCCAGAGGACTCACGTTGTCCACCCGCCGAGGGGGAGGTCCAGGCCTGGGGCCTGTGGTGGCTGCGTGCTCCATAGGCAAGGGGACCCTGGCCAGCTCCGAGCCCGGTGCCGCCTCCACGCTTGGCCTCCCTATGGCGGCTGCTGCCACAAGCACTGCTGCGTGCGTTGCCAAGGCCTCTGTTGGTTCCAGGTGACTCCCAGGGCCCCGCCCACAGTGGCAGGCCAGACCTGTGGTTGTGGAGGAGGAAGGACAGCTCTTCTTCTCCGTGCCTCCGTTTCCCCATCTGGGGAATGCGGCCCAGCGCCCCCTGCACATTCCCTGTGCAGATGGAACCAGGTGCGTGAAAGCACCCAGCCTGGACGCTGCGGACAAGCACGCAGAATGGAGCAGCAGCCCGCCCGCAGGATGCCCTGAGCTACACTCGCTGGACACCTTCTGTGTACCTAGCAGTGCTGGCTGAGCCCCGGACGGGGAGGTATGTCTCTGCACCTCTGGCCTGAGAAGCGGGGCGCGCAGGTCCCAATCAGGGGCCAGAGAACTCGGAAACGACTGGCTCAGTCGGGGCGTTCCGGAGGGCTTTCTGGAGGAGGTGCCAGCGCCGGGCGCGGCGGGGTCGGAGCGCGCGCGCGGCGCCCCACCGGGCACGCGCACCCCCGGCGGCGGGCCTTGTGGTCTCACCGCGCGCAGGATCCGGGCCCGGCGGGGGCGGGGCGCGTCCGCGGAGGGGGGCGGTTGGCTGCTCCCGAGCCCGGCGCCGCGCTCCGTCCAGACCCCGTGACCGGCAGCCGAGGCCCCGCCTCCGTCTGTCTGTCCTTCGGGCCGTCAGCGCAGCAGTGCGGGTGAGGCGGGCGGCGGGGGAACGCGGCTGCCCGGGGTCAGGGGTCTTGCGGCGGCAGGGCGGGGGGCCGAGGGGCGGGGCCTGGCAGGAAGGCGTGGCCTTCGGGGACTGCGGCTCGGCCTGGGGGCGGAGCCGGGGCGGGTTGGGGACCGGCCGGGTTCCGCTCCTACTGGAGCCCGGTGCGTGGAATTCCACGCGAGTGCCGGGGAGTTCCTAGGGAGCCGGGCTCCTCATTTGGCCCCTAGCGTGTTGACCGAGCCCGCTTCGCACAGCCCTTCCTAGAGTGTGGAGAGCGGGCCCCGCCCTGAAGGGGCACCGTGGGCTGGGGGGCTTGTTTTGGAGCAGGCACGGGTGGCCGAGCTTCGTGACCATGAAGGTCAAGGTCATCCCCGTGCTCGAGGACAACTACATGTACCTGGTCATCGAGGAGATCACGCGCGAGGCGGTGGCCGTGGACGTGGCCGTGCCCAAGAGGGTGAGGGCAGGCCGCGGGCAGCAGGGACCCCGCCGTGACCCTCGAGAGCCTCCCCTACCCCCCTGGCAGGAGCGAGCCCCCACGTGCAGTGCTCTCTGGGCGTCATTGGCGGCTGGGGTTCCTCGATTATTTCGGGGCTCCCTGAAGTTAGGGCGCCTCTGGCCTCCGCCCTTTCGCTGCTGCCTGGTGGTCTCCGCACGGGCTGGGCGCAGTCACCGCCCGCTGGGTCCCCGTTCCCTGGCGCTGCCCCGGGCAATGGCCAGCCTGGGGCAGGACCTGGCGCCCCGATATGGAGGGGGTGGCCCACTGGGACCGTCTGTGTTATCGTCACTCCCGTCCCTTTCAGCTGCTGGAAATCGTGGGCCGGGAGGGGGTGTCTCTGACTGCCGTGCTGACCACCCACCATCACTGGTGAGCGCCGGCGGGGCGGGGGAGGCGGGAGGACGCCGCCGCCCTGTCCCACCCCGACCTAACCCGGCCCCCGCCCGCCCGCCCGCAGGGACCACGCGCGGGGAAACCCGGAGCTGGCGCGGCTGCGTCCCGGGCTGGCGGTGCTGGGCGCGGACGAGCGCATCTTCTCGCTGACGCGCAGGCTGGCGCACGGCGAGGAGCTGCGGGTGAGCGCGCGCCCCCTGGAGGGGCGGGGAGGGCGCCCCGGTTCCGCCCGCCCTCACAGGTCTGCGCGCTCCTCCGCTGCAGTTCGGGGCCATCCACGTGCGCTGCCTCCTGACGCCCGGCCACACCTCCGGCCACATGAGCTACTTCCTGTGGGAGGACGATTGCCCGGACCCACCCGCCTTGTTCTCGGGTACCCGCAGCGCAGAGCGTGCCCACCCCGCCTCCCGCCGGCCCCGCCCCATCTGCTCTGACCCGCCCTCCCCCGCCAGGGGACGCGCTGTCGGTGGCCGGCTGCGGCTCGTGCCTGGAGGGCAGCGCCCAGCAGATGTACCAGAGCCTGGCCGAGCTGGGCACCCTGCCCCCCGAGACGGTGAGCGGGCCTGGGCCCTCCCCTCCTCTCCCGTGGGCGCAGGCCCCACGCTCTGCACTTGCACTGTGCCAGGGGTGCAGAGTGAATGCCCACCTGAGGGCAGCCGGCGAGGGGAGGCCACGCCAGCGGCGCGAGCACTTTCCCCGCGCGCTCACCGAGCGCTCTTCCTCCAGAAGGTGTTCTGCGGCCACGAGCACACGCTTAGCAACCTGGAGTTTGCGCAGAAAGTAGAGCCGTGCAACGACCACGTGAGAGCCAAGCTGTCCTGGGCTAAGGCACGGCCCCTTTCCGGCCTCGGCAAGAGGGTGGGGGGCACAGGCTTTGGGGGGCTTTCAGAGAAGGCCCAATGGTGACCAGGGCCTGTGGTCACTCCAGAAGAGGGATGAGGATGACGTGCCCACAGTGCCGTCGACTCTGGGCGAGGAGCGCCTCTACAACCCCTTCCTGCGGGTGGCGTGAGTATGGCTGTCGTCCCGGGGCCTCCACCGTCACGTGGACCCTTAGGAAGGCATCTGGGGACCGCGTGTTGGGCTGAGTGAGCATCTTTGGCTTGGGGGAGGCTGCTTATTAAGTGCCTTCCCGCCCGCCCCCGCCACTCGGCACCATCCTCCTGCGTGGGCAGTGGGCCCTGCGTCTCACTGCACTCCTTCCTGCAGAGAGGAGCCGGTGCGCAAGTTCACGGGCAAGGCGGTCCCCGCTGACGTCCTGGAGGCGCTCTACAAGGAGCGGGCGCGCTTCGAACAGGCAGGCGAGCCGCGGCAGCCACAGGCGCGGGCCCTCCTTGCGCTGCAGTGGGGGCTCCTGAGTGCAGCCCCACAGGAGTGACCCATCCAGACCCTCACAGGGCTGGGGCCTGCGTCCCTCCTCGTGACCTCAGCCAGCTGGACCCGCGCGAGGGCCACCTCTGGAACATTCTTTGAGGCCCTGGCCAGCCGTTTGCGCAGCCTCGGAGTGTGCGCCTCGGCAGGCTTGTGCTTCCTGGGTGGACACACAGGACCACTGAGACCTGAGTTTCTGGGAAGCGGGGCGCATGGGGCTTCTGAACTACAAATAAAGCTTCGAAAGGCCGTTCTGTGTTGGCAGATGTGCCAGGAGAGGAGCCGTTTCATAGGCATGTTGAGGGGGGTGCCTTTATTAGACAGACGCTGGGAGACAGGCCTGGCGGGGACCTGGCTGGGGGATGACACAGCTAGTGATGGCTGCCGCTTCGTACTTGGCTTGCTTTGGACCACAGCCTCGTAACAGTAACCCCTGCTTTCCAGGGGCCCAGCACCCCCTCTTGCCAGGGTCCACACACAGGGTTGTGATGGGACCACCCCTGCAGGTCCAGCTCTGTCTCCCACCTTCTGCACAGAGCTTCAGGGGAAGCCTCCAGAAGTCAGGGGTGGGAACCCGTCTTGCTCTTCCTCAGGCAACCCCAAGACAGGCTGAAGCCCCTCAAGCACTTGGGTGCCCGACTAGCAACAGCAAGGGCAGCACCTGTGGCCCTCAGCCCAGGGCCAACGAAACAGGCTGTGGGACCTCAGGGACCTTCTGCTGCCTGGGCCACCCCACCTGGGCAGAGCCAGCGGGGAACCCAGAGGCACCCAACTGGAGGTGACGGGGCAGCCGTGGGTCCTGGCCAGTCCTAGCTCCTGCTTGGGTCCCAGCACACCCTGCAGCTCACTCACAGTTTTTGGGGGAGCCCTGGGGTCTTGGGGCATGTGGTTCCGCTGTCACACACACGCATGGCCTCCTGGGAGTCCTGGTCCTGCAGCCCCTACCACCGGATGCCCAGGCCAGTGTTGGCCTTCTCCACGGCGTGGTACTGCGTATGCAGCAGGCGGCCTGCACACTCCGAGTCCGTGCCCTGCAGCCAGTGTGTGTACAGCTCTTGAACCCCAGGCGCATCCTCGGGCATCTCAGCCCGGACCATGCCGTACAGTCTCTCCACGTGCTGGAGGAGCTCCCTGCTGGGCCTGTCTGGGGCCTGGAGCTGGCCCCCACCATTTAGGCAGCCTGTGGGAGAGCAGACGGGACACATGGGTCACAGCCTGTGCCCCAGCGGAGCCTCCTGACCACCTGGGAGCAGGGAGGTGACCGGGCCCCTCTGTGCCCCACTTCCTCCCACTCCCAGCCTGGTAGGTGGTGGCCCACAGCTCTGGTCCCAGAAGGGGCCCTCGTGTCCTGTCCCTCACGGGAGCTACCTGAGGGGCAGGCCATGACCTCCACGTAGTGGTAGGGGCAGTGCCCGCGTTTGAGCCTCTGCACCAGGTTCTGGATGTTGCGGAAGCCGTACGCCATCGCGAAGTGCAGCAGCACCTGGCCCTCCTTCTCCAGGGTCACCTCCTGGAAGTCCTTGTTCCTGGGGGGCACAGGTGGGGTTTGTCTACGTGGCACACCCACCAGGCTCCTGCCCGCCTGGGAGGGGAGGCCTGCTGGGCTTCAGGGGATGACCGGGCAGCTCCCAGGGCTCTCTCCCTCTCTCTTGGGCAGGGGGACGGACAGGAACGGAGAGAGGGCGGAAAGCTCACTGCCACGAGTCCAGAGGGGACCTCACCTCCAGCTTTGGGCTCCCTGTCTGTAAAACAGGCCTCCCTCCCCAGGGATGGCTGTGAGGCCCTGGCCCTCCCGCCTGGGATGTGATTGCATGCCCTGCGCCAGACACCCACCACCCTTGACCACGCTGGCCTCTCGGGCTCAGGGTCACCATCCCCCACGATGGGCCGACTGAGGCCTGGAGGGCTTAAGTGAAGTCACACCCTGAGCCCACCAGGAGGGCCCTGCCTGGGCCCAGGGTCCCCTCCAAACCCTGCAGGCCGTCCTCCACCCAGGCCATCTCTGGGGGAGGACCCCGGGTGAGGCAGCAGCCCAAGGAAGGCTGGGGGCTGTGTGGTCGCTCTGCCCAGAGATCTGGCCCATCCCACTGACCTCAGGGGTTTGTAGGTAACCTCAGCCACATGGATTCCAAAGAGCTCTCGGGCCGCGTGCCGGAACACGTGCTCCAGGTAGCCCCCCGAGCCCCCTCCCCGATGGCTGGTGGGCTCCTCTGCAGAGGCACCGCTGCACCTGGCAAGGAAGGAGCGGCCTCAGTACCGCTGGGGCTGCTGCCTGCCAACCGCCGGAGCAGGGCCTGTGTCCCTCACACATGAGCGTTTGCGTTTCCAAGTGGGAGACAAGTCACAGGCACAGAGGAACAGCTCCAGTGTCCCCAGCCATCACAGGGGCCCTGCCACTTCTTTTTTTTTTTTTTTTTTTTTGAGATGGAGTTTCACTTTTGTTGCCCAGGCTGGAGTGCAGTGGCACGATCTCGTCTCACTGCAACCTCCCCCTTCTGGGTTCAAGAAATTCTCATGCCTCAACCTCCCAACTAGCTGGGATTACAGGTGCCCACCACCGCCCCTGGCTAAATTTTGTATTTTTAGTAGAGACAGGGTTTCACCATGTTGGCCGGGCTTGTCTCAAACTCCTGACCTCAGGTGATCTGCCCACCTCGGCCTCTCAAAGTGCCGGGGTGACAGGCATGAGCCGCTGCGCCCAGCCACTCAGCCACTTCTGAGGTGGGGCAATGAATGGGGTGAACAGATTTTTGTTCATTTTAATTCTCAAGGGTTGTTGTGATTTTGTATATTAATTATTTTTGGTGGGGTAAATAGATGGTAATTTGTGCTTAATAATTTTAGTTGAACGATGAGGAAGAATGTAAAGACCGTGGATATAATAATAGGAGGTCAAGTGGATGTGGCTAGTTGAGGCATTTCACTGTAGAGAGAGATTATTTCTCTCAGTCTTTAACTTAAAAGGTGAATGCTGGGGCAGCTGTACAGTGGATCTGTGGAAATAGTTGATAGAGGGCTTATAGAGTGGAGGTGTAGTAAATATATGGGGTGAAAGTACAGATTCATAGAGTAAATACAGGTCGCCAAGATGGGCTGTGGGGAGGCAAGCCCAGAGCAGGGGGATGCTATCCCCAGAGGCGGCGTTAGAAGCTAAAATAACAGTTCTTGGTGGCAGACATACGTACAGGCTGTCCAGAGGGGCTGGTTCCAGGTCGGGGAGGGAGACGTCCTCTTCCTCCAGCAACCTGAAAACTTCTCCTGCAAGGAAACCACAGCACAGACACTCTTTAGCTGAGATCTCAGCAACAAAGTCAGAGAACATCCTAGCCGCCTGCGTCCCTAGCAGTCTCTACTTTGGCCCCAGAAGGCCCCAAATGTCCACCCCAGCCCGTGGTAGGGAGGCCGGGCCTGGTCACTCCTGAAGCCCCTCTGGAGGCCACCTGGTCCTGCCCAGATGGACACTTTGCTCACCCAGTGTCCATCTGTCCAGCCTCTTGGGCAGTCTGCTTTTCTTTCTTTTTTTTTTTTTTTGAGACGGAGTCTCACTCTGTCACCCAGGCTGGAGTGCAATGGTGCGATCTCAGCTCACTGCAAGCTCTGTCCTCTGGGAATCAAGTGATTCTCCTGCCTCAGCCTCCCGAGTAGCTGGGATTACACGTGCGCTACCACTACTCCCAGCTAATTTTCGTATTTTTAGTAGATACGGGGTTTCACCATCTCGGCCAGGCTGCTCTTGAACTCCTGACCTCGTGATCCACTTGCCTCTGCCTCCCAAAGTGCTGGGATTACAGGCATGAGCCACCGCATCCGGCCGCAGTTTGCTTTTCTGCCTCACATTGGGGAGACTGTGGGGCTGCTTGACTCAGGAAAGGGGTGACTAATGGGAGCTGAAGGGGCTGCACTTGAGAATCTCTGCCCACCTCCAAAGACTCATTTCAGAGCCAGCAAGGAGGTACTACTGAGGGCCACTTGGCCGCAGGTCCCCGAGACAGGCCAGCTGCAAACGGGCCCACCTGGCTCCAACGGGAGAGATGAGGGTACGCGCACGCGTGCAAGCCCCCAGGCTCCAGCCAGAGCCCCCGCAAGCAGGATCCTGGGCAGTCGCCACCTGTGCTTGGGGCTCAGGAAGCAGACCAGGAGGCTCGAGGGCTCCGGGCCGCACGGCATGACCGCACCTGTTGTGAGGACACAGTCCACATCCCGTGTCTGGTGTTCCTGGTTGAAAAAGTCGGGTCTAGAGGCTTCCAGCTTTTTGTCATAGCAGGGCATCACCGTGACGTGGTAGATCTTGTCAGGAGTCAAGCGCTACGAGGGAAAACAAACACACGTCTCCCCAATCCCAGCAGTACGGTGGCCGAGGCGTGACCTGGAACTCAGCCATCCTGCAGCCAGGCCGGACCCCGAGGGACAGTGAGCCTCACTCCCTTTCCCAGGAAGCCTCCTGCTGGCTCTGCGGATGTGCCCCTGGATAGGACAGGCCCTGGCTGCGACAGAAAACGACACTGACCCGTTCCCAGTGTGCCTGCACTCCCTAACAGCCAAGTCCAAAGGAGGAGGAGAAGTGGCCTTCCCACAGCTCAGGCCCTCTCGCTGCACACCAGCCGGGGAAAGGGATGTCACAGGGGAACCAACCAGCCCCAGCCCCAGGTGAAAATCCGTGTTTTCGGGCGGGAGGTGCTGTAGGGGACATGGGCACTCCGGGCCCAGGCACCACCAGGGCCACCCTCAATGGCTGAGTGTCGTCAGGCTTCAGTCCCGCCCCCCACTGGCTGAGTGTCGTCAGGCTTCAATCCCGCGGGGCCTCAGGTGGGGGTCGTGCTGGGCACCCTGTGGATCTGGTGGCCGGGGCTGCCCGAGGGCCTCCTGCTCCCTCAGCCCCAGGCCTGGCTGTTTCTGTGTGAGCAGTGAGCAGCTGTGGATCAGAACGTGGCCCTGTGCTGCCCAGCAGGAGAGGAGTGGCCTGAACTAGGAGGGAACAAGGGTGGAGGTGTGCTCGGGAAGGCCACACACCAAGGCGAGGACTGTTTCCTGCAGCTTCGCGGCAAACAGCCAGAATAATCACGTCTGGCCGCTCCCCAGCCTGAGCCTGGGGCGGCCCAACGCCGTTACCTGCTGCTGGGCGAAGAAGTCCTTGACCAGGGAGCCCATGACCTGCTGCGGGGACCGGGCGGTGCTGATGTAGGGGAGGATGAAGCTGCCGTGCGTCTTCTCGGCATAGCAGATCCAGCCTGAGGCGACAGGGGCACACGGGGCTGGCGGGGGCGCACGGCGGCCCCCGCACCCACAGGCAGCAGCACGACATTCTGGAGGCGGGTCCGCTCATATGGGAGATCATGATGACATTAAAGAGTGCTCGTTCCTGTTCTTCCCACCACCACGTGGAGCTCGGCGTGCACGCAACACCGCCTAGGGACCTGAGGTGACTGTGGGTGGCTCCCAAGGGAGGGCAGCCCCTTCTCCACAAAAGGCCATTTGTGCCAACATTTCTAACCCGTCCTGCGAAACCGGCTTGCGTCTCCACCCCCTATCCCCCGCTTTGTCATCCGTGTCCATATCATGTCACATTTTAACTTAACTCGAACTTGACTCTCACACCGCCCGCACCATGAGCACACCTGGGCAGGCGGAGGCCAGCAGGGGCAGGGCCTGTCTGCAGTCGGCCTGTCCTCGGAATCGCCGCACAAACTCTCGCTGGCTCTCCAGGAGGCTGAAGTGCCTTGAGAAGGCGGTGTCAAAGACAAAGTGCACCCCTGGAAGGTGAAGGTGGGTGCCTGGCTAGCCCCGCGCGGGACGCCCACGCGAGTACACGCCTGTGTGTGGACCACCGTGGTGCTGCTGGGGGACGTGTGTGGCACCCGCTTCCCGTGCCAAAGCCCCGGCCCCACCGTGGGGACCTCCTTAAGCCGCGTTGCCTCGGCATCCCCTGCGAATGCAGGGCTTGCTTTCCCACCCCAGAGGCAGGGCAGCCGCTCGGCAGCTCAGTCCTCCACCCTCCCAGCTCCTTAGCGAGGCTGGTCCAGGGAACTGCCACGTGCACTGCTCCCGGTGACCCTCCCTAGGGCACAGCTGGACGTGGCCTGCTGGACTGGCCCCTCGGACCCTGAGTGTGCAGACCTGCCACAGTGGCCGCCCCTCACACACGGCAGGACTCCTGGGACAGGCCCGCCGGCTCCAAGCCCAGCAATTAGAACTGCTTGGTAAACCTGCCTGATCGTGCCCTGGACACCAGCAGAGGCACCAGCACGTGGGTCCCTCTGTCTCTGCCTGACCTGTCATTCCTGCCTCGTGTAACCCATGGTCGGAAGACGGCCTTCGGACTCACTGTGCCCCACCTGCCCGTGATCTGTAAGTAAAAATCTTTGAACTTGCTTCCTATTCCGGTGGGGACGAAACCCACACCTTCCACCTGGAGAACCACGGGCTGCCCCAGGCCAGGTTTCCCCTGAGACACCAGGTCAGGCTCCCAGTGCCAGAGCACTGCTCAGACACCAACTGGACGTGGGTGTGGGTCAGACAAGAGCCACGGGGCACCTGCCAGTGTCAACAGGTTTCCAATGTGAGGGACCCGGGACACAGTTGGATGACAGGCAGTCTGCCGGGTACAAAGCACACAGTCCTGCCTCACTGGGAACGAAGGGACTGGACGTGGCGGTTACCCATGAAAGGCACACAGCAGCCATGAGGTCCAGCCCCTTCATTCCCAGTGAGCCACCGGGCATAGGAGCCTGGTTAGCTGGGGCCTCTCAAGACACCCAAGCCCAGCTCCAGGCACACAACCGAAGTCCGCCGAAGCTGGCCTTAGCTGAACCCAGCGGAGCCCCGGAGAGAGTGCCTTAATATCATCAGCTAAAAAGTACAAGGAGTTGGTCAGCCCCAACTCACAGAAAGTGCACAGTCAGAATGCAGACGATTTCTGTGAGAAGGCGCTGCTCTCAAATGTCAAATCAAAACTTCAGGCTGAGGTCACAGAGGGAATAAAGTTTCTGTAGCACTGAAGTTCAGGGCTGGGTGGCATGTCAGTGACTCAGAGGCACGAGGAGCCTGGGCTCACTCAGACGCCCCCTTGGTGTGGAGTGGCAGTGTTACCCCAGGTTCAAAGCCTACCTATTTTTTTAAAGAATGAGGTTAATTTCCTGGCAGTGTCTGTAGGATTCAGCTGAAACCGTGCAGCCAGCGATGCTCTAGACTGTGGCGAGACTGAGACTACAACCAGCCTCTGCTGACTGGGCGCCGCCATCTGCAAAGCAAGGGGAAGACGCTGCTTACTCTGCCGGCCTTATGCTGATTCCTGGTGCCCAGAGCTGCCCGGTGAGATGCCGTCGGCTGTGGAGAGGGCATGCCAGCTCTATCAAGAGTGTCTTTTTTTTTTTTTTCCCCCACACAGAGTCTTGCTCTATTGCCCAGGCTGGAGTGCAGTGCTGTGATCAGAGCTCACGGCAACCTCTGCCTCCCAGGTTCAAGGGATTCTCCTGCCTTAGCCTCCTGGGTAGGTGGGATTACAGGTGTGAACCACTGTGCCTGGCCAAGGATATCATTTTTTTTTTGATGGAGTCTCGCTCTGTCACCCAGGCTGGAGTGCAATGGCATGATCTTGGCTCACTGCAACTTCTGTCAGTGATTCTCCGGCCTCAGCCTCCCGAGTAGCTGGGATTACAGGTGTGCACCACCGTACCTGGCTAATTCTTGTATTTTTAGTAGAGACGGGGTTTTGCCATGTTGGCCAGGGTGGTGTTGAACTCCTGACCTCAGGTGATCCACCCGCCTCAGCCTCCCAAAGTGCTGGGATTACAGGCGCAAGCCACTGCGCCCGGCAAGGGTGTCATTTTGATGTATATTTAGAACCTGAAGTTCCGGGCCTGACACGTTCACCACTGGCACCAACTGACAGGTAAATCACCGAGATCCCAAGCCTCAGAAAGGCAGGTGCCACCTGCAGGCGGCACCACACAAGCTGCCCTTGGCAAAATGCCTCGGCTGCTGGGGTGGATTTCAGGTTAAAGCAGAGTCCTCTGGCCGCCCACCACTTACTTTGTTAGCATCTAGAACCTTCTTCAGCTCTTCGTGGCTCTGCTGGGTGATAAGCACGGTCTCTGCAGAGGTGATGCAGCCGCTGCACGCCAGGCAGTCGTTTAGGGAGACCTTGGCCTTCTCCAGCCTCCGGGTCCCGCCATCCTACAAGGGAGAAGAACTCGGTGCGCACCGCGAGCCCCCTCTGCATGAGGACATGGAGCCAGAGGATAGTGGAGTCCAGCTCATAACCAACAACCAACATGGCTGCTGGCTGGGCTTGTGCTGCTTAATTTTTAAAAATTAGACATGTATTACAAAAATGCACACACACGTTCTAGAGTTTCATAATGCCATCAAAGTCTACTTTTTGGTACGACTTGGTTAGTGCATCAGAATCACAGGAATAAGGCTTGCCACTGGTTTCTCAGCAAAGCAGCTGCCACCCCGCCCACCCATGGGGTCCTGGACAGGTGCTGGCCCCGGTGCACACTCACGGGGCTGTGGGGCAGGAAAAAGCTGAAGGTGGGCTCTGAAAGGAGGAGGCAAGAGAGCTGAGGACAAAGAAGGAAAGGACAAAGGGATGGGAAGAGGAAAGCAGAGGGAGGAAGGCTGGGAGCCTGGCCCCCCATTGGCAGGGCAGAAACGATCGTCAGTCTCGGCCAAACAGATGCAGGAACGAGGTGTTCCAGTGGGGACGCTGGGACATCCCTTAGCCACTTTTCTTAGATGCAAAATGCACGAAGCTTGAGCTCCCCCAACTCCTCCTGCAAAGGCAGGAATGGTTTGAGCAGGGTCAGGGGTGCTGCAGTGGCCCGGAACGCAGCCAGAGGAGCAAGGCTACTGGGTGGGAACCCCTCACAGCCCCGCTCTCTGCTAGGCCTGTGTGTCATGCAAAGTCACAATCTGAGCTCGCCCTGTATTCCTACGTTGGTTCTGCCTAAAGGCACAAACCGACAGCCGGGCCCACCAGCACCCCAGCACCTTCCAGGGGTTCCCTTCGTTTGTGGGCCAGGCCCCCAGTGCTGGGCTGCAAATCGTCTCAGTGCAGTGGTTCATGAGATCAGGCAGACGTTTTTTAGAGTTCAAATGGCAGACAGTCAGGTGAATTTTAACAGTTTCTTTATTTTTTTGAGATGGAGTCTCCGTCTCTCAGGCTGGAGTGCAGTGGAGCAGTCTCAGTTCACTGCAGTCCCTATGTCCCGGGTTCAAGCGATTCTCCTGACCTCAGGTGATCCACCCCCTGCCCTGGCCTCCCAAAGTGCTGGGAATACAAGCGTGAGCCACCACGCCTGGCCTGAATTTTAACAGTTTCATCAGGATTTTATCACTTAGAGAGGAAGTACTATCCTTTAAGAATAAGGGGTCTGAACTAGAAAATCTTACATGGTTAGAACTAGGGGGAACAGGCAGACAGGATCTACCATCTCTGCCAAAGAGCCCTTCCGCTGAGCAGACCAAGCTTGCTGTTTGGCCTGGTGCTGCTCATTCACCTGCCCAAGGCACCCTGACCCCCAGCCTCCCAGATGGCAGGTGAATTCGACCAGTGGAAAAGGGCTGGTAAGACGTGGAGCGTTTCAGCGTCACCGCTCCGAGCTGGGAGGAAGCAGATAAAAAAGTGTTTCGGACCAGCCAGGCAGGAGAGATGGTGGGGCAGCCTCCTGTGCCTTACTTGGTTAACTTGGAAGTAGCTCCCGTCATCTTCTATGCGAATCTTGGCCACGCCACTTCCCGGTCTTTTTTCCACTTTGACAGGCTTGATGCATTCCTAGATCAGGAAGAGACCCCAAGTCAGGGCCTGGGAGTGGGCAGAGGCTCCCTGGGAGGCCAGGTCTCAAGAATGGCTGCCCAGCCACATGGCATGAAGGCTCTGCCCGCAGCCATACACTCAGGGACTGAGGCTGGTCCCACCGTCTTCTTCCTGTCCCCCTGCTCTCACCTCAGGGAACGGGTTCCCAACATCCTGCGGCACTGAAGGTCCCAGTGTGCACGAAAGCCAGTGCTAATGGTGCCTGCAAACTACCCACCCGCGGAGACACCACCAAGGCTGACCTTTACCCTTCAGGTGAACGGGGGCGTGACTACCACAGAGGCCAGAGGGTTACACTGCCCATCGAGAGGACGTGTGCTTGGATCTGTTTGGAGATCACCTCCTGCCCAGTGCCCGGGAAACAAGTTCATTTCTCTCCCTTCTCCTTGAGAACCCTGTCAGCCCGGAAAGCCGCCTCCCAGCCCGCCTCTCGCCCTGCTCAGCCCTGGCCCCGCGGAGCTGTTGGACATGGACAGGCAGGCGCACCCAGGTAAGGGCGCCTGCAGCCTCCCGGGTTCAAGGGTAGCTGTCCGGCCCACCTGGGCGACGTCAAGGACAGCTCTACTGAGGAGCCATTGCGGGGCGTCTAGCGGGCCGCCCCCACCGCCCTCAACTGAGGTGGGGTCCCCACCGCGCCTGTTTATGCGGATACAAAGGCTGTGGCTTGGGGGTCCTGAGGCCTGACAGGGCGCCCGTGCAGGGGAGGAGGCCCCGATCCGGGCCTCGCCGCGCTCCAGCTGCGACCCAGGGGTCGGGTTAGAGTTAGGGACGGGTGGGAGCCGCCTCCGCTGCCTCCCCTGGGTTGGGCAGGTGGGCGCCAGCCAGCGACCGCTGGACCCTCCCACGCAGCCCGCTCGGACACTGTGGGGCACAGGAGCGGGCCGGGGGGGCGCCGCCCTCCCTGGCCTCAGTTTCCCTGTTGGTAAGAAGCGGGCCGCAGTGTCAGAGGCCCCGCGCCGGGGTCGATAGAGACCCCGACGGCCCCCACCGGGCTCCCGGGATTCGGATCTCATTCCTCAGGGGAAGAAGTGGGGCACAGAACAATTTCCCTCCGCGCGAGAGGGCACCGAGCGCAGCCTCTCCCCCGCCCGCCCAGGTCGGCCCACCTGAGACGGCCCGATGAAGTCATCCAGGTCCGTCAGCTGCAGCGCTCCACTGAAGGGCGACGCCATGACGGCCGCACTTGGCGCCGCGCGGAGGTGTCGCCCAACGGCGTGAAACGAACGGACTGGTTCCGCCACGCTGCCGGAAAGCGCCTCCAAGGTGCATGCGCACCGCGCACCTCGCCCCGCGGCCGGCGCCCTCTGCTGACGAACCCGGGCGCTGCTGCTCCCCGCCCACCCCGCGGGAACCCGGGACCGACCCTTTCCTCCGCCTCCCGCGCGTCCCCGGCCCCGGGTTGGGTTGCAGGGGGCGGCCGGGTCAGCGCCGCAGCTCCGGCCCTGGAGTCTCTCCGCCTTCACAAGAAAGCGGAGGGGATCCTGGCTCCGTCCACTTCGTTATCCGTTGCGTACCTGCGAACCAGGTGCTCTCGGATGTAACCCAAGAACC